AAAAAGTTTTGATTCGAATCAGTCGAGATGCAGCTGCATCGAAACAAGAATGCATCTTTGTAGTTTAGTAAGTTGTTTTTGTCCGTATGGAAAAAATTTAATATATATATATATATATATATATATGTGTGTGTGTGTGTGTGTGCGTGTATGTGTGTGCCAGTATATGTGTGTGTCAGTATGTGTGTGTCAATGTGTGTGTGTGTGTGTATTCAAATATATATTGTTAAATATAGCAGACAACAAATATCTATTATCTTTGCTCATGATCAGATATAATGGACATTCGTTGTCTGTTATATTTACTAATATATGTTTGAATAATAACACACACACACACACACACACACACACACACACACACACACATATATATATATATATATATATATATATTTAGTGAACATTGAAATCAACACTTAGAGGCGACAGGCTGTTTCCTGCTAGACGCAATCGTGGCCTGACGATTGCGTCTAGCATGAAACAGCCTGTCGCCTCTAAGTGTTCATTTCAATATTCACTTTTATGTTTACACACGCCCTATCTCTGATATCGGGCACTGTATCGCATAAATATAGCACACCTTAAGACTATATTTGTTCATATATATATATATATATATATATATATATTAAGGCATGTGTTATTAAAGACTACGGAACTCTTCCGTTTGATGATCTTTTTCTTAGTTTTTTTCTTGCTTCCTCGCAAGTTTCTTAATGTTTGGGTCTAGGTTGTTAAAATAGGATCCGAGTCGATAGTGTTCTGCCGAGCACTTTCGGTTGTCCCCGACCGTCATCATGGGGTTTGTTTTTATTTGAAGATATGTTATTGGTTGGTTTAGTTTTATAGATAATATTAGACGATGGGTTAGTTCGTATACATACAGGTTTGATTAAAAACGACTGACAAAGTACTGTGCTTAAGTTTATTTTTTAAAGTTAATTGTTCAATGTATTTATAATTTTCAGATAATGATTAAAAGTATTGCCGAAAGCGCACAAACAAACATTTTGACAATTTCTATATAATTTTTGAACAGAAATAAAGAAAATTCTAAGAAGACAAGAAAAACTAAATAAAATAAAAAAAACTGAACAGAAGTACTTTGTCAGTCGTTTTAAATCAAACATGTATAAAAGAGGGATTGTTACCCAAATACACAATTATATATATATATATATATATATATATATATATATATATATTATAGTAAAAAGAAAGAACAGTAAGATATATAATCCGGTGTTCTTATTGATATTTTTATTTTTACAAAACAGTGCTTATTGTAAATTTACAAAGCATAAATATTATAAATTAACTAACTTAAAAATATGTTTCCTTCGCTACACAGGAATTAAAATTCGCTTGAAGGTTAAACAAAAGTAATGCTTTTAATTTAATTATATAATTAAATTTGAAGTTTTTAGCTTTGGTTTCGAAACATGGCAATTCCTTTGTAGCGAAGGAGCCATATTTTTAAATAAGTTAATTTGTAATACAAGGTGTCCATATAGGTCGTGTGCAATTTAAAAACTTTATAACTTTATTTGTATTTTTGAGAGAAATAATTTGTAAAAAATGTTATAAAGTTTAATATACCTAGTTTTAAGTGTAGCTAAAATAACTAATGTGATTTCAGGCATTACTGTAAATCAGTTGGCAAATGTTTTCCGTGAACTGCAAAAACCTATCCTTTGTATTGCTAATGATGGAGGACATGTGGAAACTTAAATAAAATTTCAATAAAACCTTAAAAAATATAGATTTACTTCTTTCTAATCCTTTTTACAAATTATTTCTATCGCATATACTAATATAGTTAGGAGTTTTTCAAAGTGCACACGAACTTTATGGACACCCTATATATATATATATATATATATATATATATATATATATAACCAAATATATGGATATAGATCCGACAGTATGAAGAAAAATATACGGAAAAAAACAAAGAAAAAACCTAGTAAGCAATTATGCTGTTTTAATGTTAATATAATGTCAACGTCGGACGTTTTAGTCTTGCTTTTGTGTCCATCGTCTTTTTCATGTTGAATTAAATATAGTCTAATGTCAATTATGTTTTATGAAACTGTCCTGAAGATAGTCTATTAGACCGAAACGTCCGACGTTGACATTATATTAACATTAAAACAGCATAATTGCATATTAGGATTTTTGTTTGTTTTTCCGTATACTTTTTCTTCATATATCTCTTGGACATGAGTAGAGGCTTACGCCTTGTTCCTTGTTTAGGAAGAGGTTTCCGGTACTCTCTCTCTCTCTCTCTCTCACTGGCCTCTGTATCTCCAGTTGCGTTGATCTATCCACTACTCTTCTCCTCATCCTTTCTTCTATCCTCCTATCTGACCTTGATCCAAATTTTCTGTAACCCTTGCGTCCTAGTGGCTTTTACGCCTTGCTTGGGGTGAAACGCTTAAATATATATATATATATATATATATATATATATATATATATATATATATATATATATATATATATATAATTGATTTATCTCCGTGAGGATAAAAGTTGTAATATTGAAAAGGCAATTTTTCATTTGTAGGACCTCTCGATTTGCTACTGTTGATATTAGTTTTACTGTTTAAGACCCCCCCTCATAAAGAAAACCGAAAGAACAGGGATATCAATTCAAATACATGTACCTACCAAAATTAACATATATATATATATATATATATATCTAGTAATAATAGATAATGTTGAATTTTAAAAAAATAGATATAAATATACACTATGTGTTGTTTCTATAAATATTTTCTATGCTTTGCTGTGGTACTTTAAGCGCACTAGAGGACGGTAAATGCGACACTGACATATGGCACCTATCGGGATGGCCAAGGACGCATTCCGAAAGCCGAGCTGGATATTACAAGAGAGGAGGATTTCTTTGGGAACGAAAAAAAAGAATACTGAGCATCTGTCTTCCTTTACGGCATCGAATGTTGGACGGTCCCCTTAAATATGAAGAAAGGACTCGAGGCGACGGAGATGCGGTTCTACAGAAGGATGCTAAGGATATCATAATACTAATAATCATATAATAATAATAATAATAATAACGAAGACTACTGAGCTGTTACGTGACACCTGTCTTCCTTACGGCAGCGAATGTTGGATGATTTCCTCAAAGATGAAGAAAGGACTGGAGGTGACGGAGGTGCGGTTCTACAGAAGGATGCTAAGGATATCATGGACCGAGCGTGTGAGGTCTTAGAGATGATATAAACAAAGAGGAGGCTTATACTTAACATCAAGAAGAAACAGCTGAAGTGCCTGGCACACATATTGAGGAAGGAGGGCCTGGAGAATCTGATACTCACGGGTCGAATAGAGGGAAAGAGCTGAAACAACGTATGACATACCTAGCGGCCTTAAGCAAGTGGATGAGAGAACCTGGTCTGGGGGAGGCGGCAGAGGGAGGGAACTCAAAACATGAAGAAGAGACACGAGGCGACGGAGATGGGGTTCTACAGAAGGATGCTAAGGATATCATAATATTAATACTCATATAATAATAATAATAACAAAGACTACTGAGCT